TTTTTTTTTCCAAGTAGCAAAGTTCAAACTATAAATCCTTGAAGTAAATACTTGTTTTCAACCTTCACCTTAAAGGTCTTGTAACCAGAGGACTCAGCAGAGTTTCACAGTATCACAGCTCCAGCAAGAGTACCTCTTTGTATATAAACCCAGGACAGTGGCAGCTCTCTTTGTACAAGACAAACAAGTTCTGGGCTGGTGTTCGAAAGCCTATTGACACAGTTATGTTTTCCTCACTGCAGCGCTCATTCATACAATTCAAAGCCTTTTAAATATTTAAAGGCTGTAATGCAATGTGATCATCACCATATATGATTATGGATTTTTGCTTGCTAAGGTATGGAATTTCCATAGCCGGCTAACTACTTGTGGCTTGGGGCAAAAAATATTTTTCATTTTTATTCTATCAAAAAAGGGATCTGAATGGAGGTTGCTACATTTCTGGTTGCTTTTAAACCTGTGAACTGATTCCTGTAATCACTTTCTTACAATGGCGCTACCTAACACGTGGATAGATCCACACTCTAACACTCACGTTTCCCTCGATGAAAGTAGCCTCTCTTCAGCCTGTAAATATTAACCTTTTTGCACACAGATAATTCCAGTGAATTTCCGTGGCAATGCCCGGCATAGAGCCGAGAGTAAATGTGGGATGAGGCCGTGAATTCTTTGTAGATTATGGTTCAAAACAACCCAAGACACACAGACATGTGCACAAACACACTAGAAGTAATTTGAGATTCAGAGCAAATTCCCAAGCTCACGCAAGCATAGCCTGGCATTATAATGTTATCACCCGTGGTGCATTATTTATTTCTACAGAAATGAATGAAAATCATAGTTAGTACATGACCCCTATTAGATGGCAGCAAAACCACATAATATTTTCTGCAATGACCAACAAAAAAAAAGCAAAAAGTATTATTATTGTCTAATTTACATAAAGTAATAATGATAAAAGTATGATCCTCAGGCACAAACTAGATATTGTAACAACAAAATGTGTTTGCATTTATCCTTAGTTAGTAATATAAGGTGATTTTAACTTATGACTGGCATGTACTGTAACATCGTAACAGTATATATCATGATGTAGCAGAATGTGGGCCACAACTAATGTTTTCACAGTACCTTTTTACTTGGTTTCCTATATGCAGATGTGTTGTGCTTATATTATACCCTTATGTACTACTGTTAATTTAAAACTACCATCTTATGTCAATTTAACCACTAACTGACATACGAGTTAAAGCAAAAGATGGTAACGTTTATTGGCTGAAGGCCCTCTTGCTGAGGGACATGTTGGTCTTATAATGAAGAGAAACTAGTGGATCAAGTGTCTCCACATGGAGAGAATTCAGTCATTGAAAGAAAGGGATGTCGTAACGTGCCTGTCATAAAGTATTAAAACTAAATAGAATAAAATGAAAACTTGTTGCAAGCGCTGACAATGAAACAATAGTGTCAGTATTTGCAACTGAAAACTTCTTTCCAATCACGCTTGAATGGTTGAGCAGTTTCATTTATCCCAGAGGGTCTCTTAATTTTAATGATAATTAATTGTGATTTTTCATGTGTCTCAAATTAACATTGTAAAAGGCTTTGGGGTATTTCTTTTATTGCTATCCGCCCACAGGGCAGCACTGTAAGTGTACAGAAAAACTCACTTTTAAAACTTTAACAATGCATCTTAATTTCATTTGAGGATGAGTGCCTGCACTCAACCCA